CAGGTCATCGAAAGCTCTTTAGTGTTTCTTCTCTCGTCTTTCGCACTATTATTGCTTGATAACTTCATGTAAATGCCGTACAAATACTCCTCTGAAACACACAATAATCATCAACACGCACGCGACGCGCACCGGCACGCAGGCCGCACGGGCCCACACGCACACAGTCTACGTAATGCACTTAGCACGCCACGCAGCGGCACGGCTACGTACACCACGCGACACACGCCACACGTAGCTAACGTCAACGTTACGAATGCACGCACGCTACTCGCCACGGCAACGCACACACGAGCGCTGCTCGTCCCAGATGCTGTCGCCATGGAATCTTAGATGATCTCCCCTCAGCCGAGGTATTTTGCTTTTTGCCCGATTCGAAATTGCCTGATTTCGATCGCAAACCGGCGGCGTGTGAAACCAGGATACGGAATTTTGCGCGGTCCCGTAGCCGAAGCGCGGCGCCGACGGTACTACCGCTCGTAAAGGCTCCGCTAGATCGCAGAACGCGCCCGATAGACGGGTGCGTGGTCAGATATGTAATCACGTGCGATTTGAACGTGGACGGTGCGGGATGCTTAATCAGGCTATCAGCGATAACGACCCTCGTCAACACCGAAGGACGAACAAGCAGTCGGTCGGCTTCGCGGCTGCGACGGGTGGCCCCGGTGCGGCCCGGTCGCGCGCATTAACTGCCCAGAAAGAGCTCGCGGTTGATCTACGGCTGTCAAGGCGGACCGTTCGTGGTTCGGCAGCGAGCGAATCTCAGGAATTCGCGCCGCCCAGCCCCTGTAATTCTACCCCGTTTATGGTTCGCGCGAAAAAATCTAAGCGTTCCCTTTCACAATTATCCTTCTCCTCGCGTATACAAGCACGGCGTTACGCGCTTCTGAAATCAATGCCCTGCAAACGCCACTTGCCCGAGCGTAATGGTGCTTATATAACGATCACGCAGGGCTTTCTGCACCATGTGTGGTAATTAACTCCGTTCAAATCGCATTCTTGTCTATTGTGCGCGACCGGTGACAGACGGTTATACGCTCATAGGCGTCCTATCTGTCCCCCCAGCGGTACTCCGCGGAACGTACTGGGGTACGCGTCGCGGTATACGCGGAAGTACCTTGGGTATACTATCAAGAGCCAAGATAAAGAAGACGCCTTCTTTATTCTGGCTCTTGTAACTATCTAAGCTGATATGGTTAGGGTAGGTGTTAGGGTTTAGGTTAGCGGTTAGGTGTTATGGTTAGCGGTTAGAGTTAATGGTTAAGAGCTATGGGCCTTAGGGAGTAGCTGATAGGGCCGACTCCATAGATCTTGTTAGTGGAGTAGACGAGGTACGGTCCGGCATAATTCGATAGATAAAGTATTTAGTACGCAGGGTTACGCTTCCGGTGTAGCCCTGGTATTTCGTTCTGTTAGGTTATCTCATCGGTCCCGATTGATCGTTGACAATGATGCGAAAAGAGTTGTGTATATTATAAGATCATAGACGTCTTTATTTGGAATACATATGCTGCTGGCAGCTTACATGCGTAGGTCGGTACGCAGTGGCCCCACCGACTCTTCCCCCCCAGAAGAACTTCTTTCCGCTCTTCCTTATATAATCTATTTCCTTTTCCTGACGGCACTGAGCTCGTTAATAACCAATGCAGCAGGCTGCGTGGCCGTATTGATTCCGTCCTCAAGAGTAGATAAATACACTCTTGTTTTTATCTATATCTGATTCCCTATAATTCGCTGGCCGGGTGACATCAATGTTTCGGACAGGGTGACTAATGAGTCATCAGCAGCTGTTGCCACTCCTGTACGCGTTGCATTCATCTCTGCTAATGACGCCTGAGTAACATTCCCGTCTCCACACGGTTATAACCGGACCGTTACCCAAGGGTACGTTCCGGCAGTAACCCTGGAGACGAATAGGCCCTATCAGCGATACAGTTACGGTGGGAAGAGAAAGGGTGTCTACGCTAGCTGTACATGTATAGCACGTGGGGCAAAGCCTAAACACAGTCGGACTCAGTCTCTACCATTGCCCGCGTAAACCCCTCGCTTATTGTTTTATTATCGCTGCCCAATTTATGTTGTTTATTGCGAGAATATTTATAGCGTGTATGCTCTCACTGTCTGTGTGGTGTGGTGGGAGGAGAAGGGGGGTAGCTTTGCGTAAGTTTCGTCTGGCGGACCACCGCGAGAGAGACGCAGCGAATCTGACACTGTTTAATTGGCTGAATTTTTTTTGGCGAAGTGCGGTGAGTAGCAGCCTGCAAACATTGACGCGTGGGCAAAACAACTCAGCGTCCGGGCTGGTTTTACAGTTGTTTTCCACAGAAAGCTTTGCTAAATCCAAGTATGACGGAGTTCATTAACCTTCATCGTCATCACCAGTAGCATCCATCATCATCAATCGTCATCAAACTGTCAGCAATCGATCATCGTATCGTCATCATGGTCATCGTCATCATCAATCATCATCCATCATCATCACATCGTCATGCACAGTCACAACCTGTCATCAATCGTCATCGTATCATCATCATCATCATCACATCAATCACATCGTCGGTCGCGTCGTCATCATTATCCATCATCATCCATATCATCATCATCAATTCATCATCATCATCATAATCATCATCATCATCATCATCATGCTCCTCTTCTGCCTCCTCCTCCGTCCTCCTCCTCCTCCCTCCCTCCTCCCTTCTCCTTTCACCCTAACCCTAACTCTCTTATTACTCTCTTACTTACTCTCTCTGCCCGGCTGGTTCGCTCTCATCATCGCTGTGTTAGACAGTAGTAAATCATTTTTATCGTTGAAAACTCACGGGAGTGTATTAGCATCTGTGCACCAGCCTGGCATATATAGTGTAGACAGAAATGCTTTAGACTATAAAACACTGAATGAACAGTAAAACTAAAGCGCGGCTGCGATCTTGAGATTCGCGAGAATCGAATTTTCGAGCACTCCTACAAAACAACTGCATTTAGTTACGTAACCGGTAACGTAAATATTTATAAACTGCTGCCTATCTCAAAATGTATACAAAAGTAATTAACCTAGGGTAGAGACAGGGTTCCGGTCAATGCCATCTCGCGAGAGCAAAATTCACGCGCTAGTTTTATTGACAGATGTAAACAAATCTAATTTGAAATTGGGATCGGTGCGCATATTGGTGAAAAGAATAATTTGCGAATGTTTCATGGCATGTTAGCGTTACAATATACATTTGGTGATGCAACGAGTCCCGGTAAGTAACAGAACGGTCGAGCAAATATGAAAAAAATTGGTAAAAAGTTAAAACATATTAGAAATCCTCGCGTTAATCTCAATTGCAGGTATCAAACTCTCGCCCGATTACGGCTCCATCTATCGGACGGCTCCTGCAAACACGCGCGTGCTAACGATGCACGTGCAGCCGAACGCGACAGGCACCGTCTTCCAGATACTGGAGCTACCTGACGAGAGTGAAGGCGAGCAGCAGACGGTCGACGACGTCGGCAGCGACGGCAGCGACCACTTCACCATCGACTCGCGCACGGGCGACATCACGACGCGCGCGCCTATCTACGCCGCCATCGGTCACGTATACACACTGCTCGTCGACGTCGAGAGCGACAGTGGCGACGCCTCGCGGAGCGTCGCCATCACGGTGAAGCCATACAACGAGCTCGCGCCGACGTTCTCCGAGCCGACGTACGCGGCGGTGGCGCGTCGACCGACGCCCGTGAACACGCAGCTAATCACCGTGCAGGCGTCCGACACAGACGACGTGTATTACGTCATCGAGCCCGTCGGCGACTTCATGTTCTTCAGCGTCGGTCCAGCGGGAGAGATCTACGTCGACAGAGAGTTCGTACCCGAGAAGTTTCTCTACACGATACGACTAACTGCTGTGGACACGGGGTCGCCCGAGCGACAGTCTTCAGTCGACGTCGACATATACGTCACAGACATCACCGGTGAGATGGCTGCTTACACACGCACGCGCGCACGCATGCACGCACGCACACACACGCACATACACATCCAGGGGCCCGTTGTCAAAAGCAAAATTAGCCTTAAAGTTAACTTTATCTCATCGGCCATAAATAATAACATCGTAAATTTACGAGAAAAAAACATCTTAGAAAATTCTTTTTTTATCATTAGGATACCTCGTAACTAATAAACTAATACGAAAATAATGCTATTACATAACAAATTTGAATTATATTGATACTATGTGTTATATTGATTAGTTAAACCAGTGTTTTCCATAAAAAAAACATTGGAAACACTATACTTATCTACCGGTCATGTACCAAAACAACCGTTTGGCAGTTGTTCAACACTTACGTAGTGTGTTGCACGCGAAGTGCACTCTCTTTTATGACGAATAATTATAAAATATACGCATTAGTAAGCTCGCATCTGACAGTGTGGTTTGTCACCGTTGTGTTGTGATGGGTTATGGTTAGGTGTTCATTCGCCTAGTAGTATGGTGTGTCACGGCTGTGTTTGTGATGGGTTATGTTAGGTGTTCATTCGCCTAGTAGTATGGTGTGTGTCAGCGGCTGTGTTGTGATGGGTTATGTTAGGTGTTCAATATCGCCTAGTAAGTGTGGTGTGTCATAGTCATAGTGCCATAGTGCTGGTCGTTGTGACGGGTTATAGCGGGGAGAGAATTGCTCAAAATTTATAAATTTCAAAGATGTGTCACAAAGTGCACAATTTCTATGAAATCCCTGCTATTATGGTTAGAGTTCATTCGCCTAGTAGTGTGATTTGCCACCGTTGTTGTCTCGCTGCGTGCAGCCCCGCGGAATCTGCGAGTGGCGGCGGGAACAACGCGCTCCGAGATCTGCTGGAACACCCCCGACTCGAGCGCGCAGCTTGGCAGCTACGTCATCAAGTTCTGGCAAAAGCAGACGCCTGACGTCATCGCTACGGACAACATCACGCTAGCCGAACCGGAGCATGGGACGGACACGGACGAGATTTGCTGGACGCTGGCGAACCTTGAGCCGGAGACTTCGTACGAGGTGGAGATTAGCGCCTACGACGTCAACAACAACCCTGGTTACCCAGAGCAAGCCGAGTTTACGACGTCGCAGGACTGTGAGTGCACGCGTAGCGGCGTGGGTGGGGCTGATGATACAGGGTACCGGCGATGACCGTGTGTATCATTGTCGCGATGTCACATTATACTGTGTGTTATCTATTGTTATGGTGCGAAATCTGTAGTAGGTATCGCGTATGAAATTTCGCGTGACATGAACATCGTGTGGCATTGCACGTCAAATTTATTAAAAAGGTAGACAGTAAAATTACATTACCTGGCTCATACTGAAATGAAGGGGCGTCGTTTTTTTTAAATCCAGACCGATAACACTGTGTCAGAGTAAACAGGTTATATAACATCAGAAGAACGCAGATCGATATGTTCATACACGTAGTTTATATATGCGCGCTTGATGACTTTCACTTTGTATCTCTCGGTGCTAAATACTATAGCTAAATTAGCGAGCATGATATCTATACTTCACGTTTCCTCTTACATCGCATGTCTTCTCTTCCTTAGCGACCCTTCAAACGCATAGCTGTACCTACGATTCCCGATCACGTAGACGTAGCCCTCCTCCCAACAAATCTGTAGTTTCAAGGACACGCCAATGTCATGAACTGTCATGGCCGCGGTGAGGCGCGCGCACCTTCGCTGCGGCCTTCTTCAGTGACAATAATGTTTTGTCTGTTTCTAGTCTGTGAGCAGTCCCCGTGTATACGTGGGCGCTGCAAACTGACAATCCTGTCACCCGGTTTCTCTTGCGTCTGTCAAACCGGATACGAAGGTAGCGTTAGTGTCCTAGTGTGTTCTCTCACGCTCTCTCTCGCGTGTATGGAGTGGCGAGTGGCAGTAGATATAACCCTCATACAAGTTGTCAGAAAGGCATTTGTAAAAACGCTCGATTTTATGAACGATAGCAGATCGAGAGGATGACGCATACGAAATTGCTGCAGAAGAAGAGAGCATCCTCGCCTGTCGTCGCGAGGTGGCGGCTGTTGCTGCACACTAATGCGGACGAAAAATAGTTTTGTATGACGCCTGCGAGCTTTTATTGCAACCGGCAGTTAGATGCGATATGATATGACTACTAGGCACTTTAATTGAATTTTTTTTTTTTTTTTTTAGGGTTAGGGTTAGGGTTTAGGTTAGGTTTAGGGTTTAGGTTAGGTTAGGGTTAGGGTTTTTTTTTTTTTAAGTGCCTAGTAGTCATATCCTAAGTGCCTAGTAGTCATATCATATCGCATCTAACTGCCGGGTGCGCTTTTATTGCTTTCGCTCTCTCGCCTTTTCTCTGTAGCGTATCTTTAACCGGATCTTTAATCGTTTGTTTTCCGCTGTTTTTTCTTCTTTTTCTCTGTAAGATGGCGTTAGTGCATCGAGTTATAGAACTTGCACGGCTAGTATAGCACGCACATTGGATGTCAGTACATTCACGTAGTCAACATTGTACCTTCTACGTATTTATTCCTTTGTTATGACACTATAGCGCACTAATTATGCAGTATCTATGAAAAGTGATAAGAAATAATGAAGGTACGTGCACATTCTGTGGTTACCACTGCATTGTGCAGCTACGGCAGGCACATATAGAAAGATAAATTATTATTACGGCACATATCTATTTGAAAACGACGATTGAAGTACTGCTAAATTTTGACCAGGCCATCTCTGCGACACCAACATCAACGACTGCGCGTCGAGGCCTTGTCAAAATGGAGGCACGTGCGTCGATAAAATCGGCGCCTATAGATGTCGCTGCAAGCCGGGCTACAGCGGGCATGACTGTGGAACATCGCGTGAGTGCTCGCACGTACACCCTTGCTGACGGTCGAGCTAGCGATCGATAATTCAAACCGCGACGTTAATATGCCATCGAAAAAGTCTTATTAATAGTCCCTCTCTCATCGAGACATCGAGAGATCGATACCATTTGCATGTATACATAAATTTCCAACGGCGCCTATCCGTCCATACTTCTAATCTACATCGTAATGAGAGAGCTAAGCGGAAATTATGCGGGCGTACTTTTTTAAAAGATGTTCTTTTTATGCTTTGTCTTCGCATCGTAGTGAGATGCCCTGCCGAGAGAACCGAGTCGTCGAAAGGCGTGTTCCTGTGGCGATCGACGGAGCACGGGCGCGATGACAGCGCGCCCTGTCCGGCGGGAGGGTTTGACGTCAGCGACCAACCGGTCTTCGCCTCACGCCACTGCAGGGCGATGCTCACGGGCGGGGTCGTCTGGTTGCCACCGGACATTGGTCACTGTAAGAATGAGGTAGTGATCGGTCCGTACACGCAAGCAGAACCATTAGACGTGACAAAGTTATTATAGACAAATATATACATGCCTGTACCTACATTTATCTATCTGTTTATCTGTTTATCTATCCATCCATCCATCCATCTGTCCGTCCATCCATCCATCCATCCCTCCGTTCGTCCGTCCGTCCGTCCGTCCGTCCGTCTGTTCATTTATCCATCCGTCCATCCATCCATCCATCTATCTACCAATCTACCTGCCCACCTACCTACCTACCTACATACCTACTTACCTACCTACCTGCCTGCCTGCCTGCCTGCCTGCCAGCCTGCCTGCCTGTCTGCCTGCCTGCCTGCCGGCCTGCCCGCTACTCTATCCATCCATCCATGTATGAATACGTACATTTATCAATACTTCCATCCGTTCGTCCGTCCTTCCTTCCATCCATTCATTCATCCATTCACCCATCCATTCATCCATCCATCCATCCATTCATCCATCCATCCATCCATTCATCCATCCATCCATACCATCCATCCATCCTGCCCCATCCGTCATGCCGTCCATTCGTTCCAATCCATCATCCATCCATCCGATCCATCCATCCATCCATCCATCCATATCCATGCCATCGCATCCATGCGCAGTCCATCCAGCCATGCCACCATCCATCCATGTCCATGCCATCCTCATCCCCCAATTGCGCCATCAATCCATTCCATCCATGGCCATGCCATCCATGCCATTCATTTTGGTCCATCGAAGAACATCCACGCCAATCCATACCATCCACATCCATCCTCCATTCACAAACCATCCAATGGCAGCCATGCCATCCATGAGCCATCGTCCATCCATCCATTCCATCCATCCATTGCATGCATCCATCCATCCATCGAGCGGCCATCCATTCATGCATGCATCCATAACCATCCATTGGCCATCAACCCATCCATCCATGCGCGATCCATGCATCCATCCATCATCATCCATCCATCCATCCATCAATCCATCCATGCCATCCATCCATCCATCATCATCATCCATACCATCCACATCCATGCACCATTCCACCATCCATCCATCCACATCCGAGCACCAATATGACTCAGCCCGCATAGCAAGGATATTTGATATTGTTAATGTCAACATTAGCCGAGAAGATGATATGTGCACGTAGCTACCGCTCGTGCGCACACTTACATTTTTAACACGCTGAATCTGCTGAAGGCTTCAGACGGCGCCAGTTACGACGCTAGAGGGCCTACTCGGCGGCGATCGGGCAACGGAACAAGATTGTCGCTGGCGTCGTGGCCTCCTCAACTCTCTCTGTCTATGTAGGACACGGCCGGCCAGCATTGCTTAGAAGACTGCGTGCAGGTTACACCATGCGCCTTTCTGTAACGAATCCGTAACTCGCGTAAATCGCACGTGTGATGAGGCCGAACTATACACACGCCGCCGTTCCGCAGAACTATCCTGCACACGATTAGACTAGGACAGGCGTCTATGAGCTGAACACACTCCTCCATTGATCATTGGATGTGTAGCATGACACCCATGTCGACCCTTGTTCGCATACGTGGCGAGTGGCGTTAGGTGTTAATGAGAGTATTCGAGTGTGCAAATGCGCGAAAATTGTCCTGACTCTCGCAATGCTATACGTATTTGTGACTGTATTACGTTGGATTTACAATGCGTGTTGGCCGGTCGGCAATCAAATATGAAATCGCGATAATGTCTTATATAGTTCACGCGCCGTGTTGTCTTCAGTGCGCACCGCCTGCCATGGGGGTGATCAGGTAACCTCATGGATTTAGACCAGCTGCATTCGGTGACCAGGAAGCGCGTGAAGGAAACGGCTCAGTAAAAGGTATACGACCGTTCCGTAGCGAACCCCGA